CCAACTCAACTTGCTATGTAGCTAAGTATGACCCTGAACCTTTGATTCTCCTGTCTCCTCCTTCTGAGTGTCTAGATTATAAGATTACAAAATTACTATATCCAGATAAAGCAAAGCTTTCCAAAAATAGAAGGGGTAGAGGGTGGGAGCTCCAGGAGAGGGGAATAGGAACATACCAAACACAAATACATGAATGGCAGCCACTCTGTGACACGTTGTGTCATCTCCTGTCTTTGCATAGAATGTTGCTGTGGCAAACAGCACAGGTTAAGCCATAGATGGCAAAGAAGTTCTTTCAGTATGCTAGGACCGTGTCCACTGTCCACTACCCCTCGCTCATATGTTGAAGCCATAATTCCAGTTGTCACTGTGTTTGGAGACAGGTCTTAAGGGAGGTGATAAGGTTAAATGAGGTCATAAGGGAGAGGCTATAATCCCATAAGACTGGTGTCCATATACGAAAAGGAAAAGATGCCAGTTGTCTCTCTTCCTTCCTTCCTTCCTTCCTTCCTTCCTTCCTTCCTTCCTTCCTTCCTTCCTTCCTTCTCCCTTCTCTTCCTTCCTTTTTTTTTTTAAATTTTACCTGTGTTAAGCTGGGCGTGGTGGCACATGCCTTTATTCCCAGCACTGGACAGGCAGAGGCAGGCGGATCTCTGTGAGTTTGAGGACAGCCTGGTCTACATAGTGAGTTCCAGGCAGCAGGGACTACAGGGAGACCCTGTCTCAAAAAGACCCCCACACACACAAAAAAGGAAAAAGATAGATGATAGATACATAGATAGGTAGATAAAATATTCTAGCTGGTAGTCCTGTCAGGTGTGAGTTTCATACATATTTTCTCCTAGGGTACAGCTTGTCTTTTGTTGTTATTGTTGTGGTTTTGTTTGGTTTGTTTCTTGGAGACGTGGTCTTGGAAAGTCACCCAGCAAGCCCATCACTCACAATCTTCTTACCTCGGCCTCCTGAGCGCTGAGGTTCCAGGTGCGTGCTACCAAACAGACCTTTCTGCTTGTCTTTTTATCCTCTTTACCTGAACTTTCACAGAACTTAAGTCTTTCATTTCGGTGATGTAAAATTTTCCCTTGTAAAACTCATGCCTTGGATGTTAAGTCTGAGAAATCAGTTTCCTTCTAGATCCCTCGTTTTTACTTCAGGGCATTCCAGAAAAGACTTCATGATTTCAGAAAAATTGGATATCACAGAGATCCATCTGCCTCTTTTGAGATTAAGGTGCTGGGAATAATAGATAGATAGATAGATAGATAGATAGATAGATAGATAGATAGATAGATATTTACTGTGTGTATAGCATGTTTGTGTTCATGTATGTGTGTGAGTGCAAGTATACATGTGTCATGGCACACATGTGGAAGTCAGAGGATAACCTCAAGTGGTCTTTGTTTCCTACCTTGTTTGAGGCAGGGTCTCTTGTGCACTGCTGTATGTGTCAAGCTCGCTGGCCTGTGAGTTTCTGAAGATTCCTGTCTTCACCTCCCATTTTGCCATAGGTGAGCTGGTTACAGGTGCATTTAGCCACATCGAGCTTTACGTGGGTTCTGGGGACCCAACCTCTAGTCCTCACACATGTATGGCAAGTGTTTTATCCACTGAGCCATCTCCCTAGCCCAAGCTCTAAAAACCTATGAATAGGAGAACAAATGACTCTTCACTGAAGAGGGTGAACAGATGGCAAATAGATACATGAAAAGAAGTTTGAATATGATCAGCTGCAGCATTACTGTGCGCCAGCATTACAATTACCTGAACAAAAAGCCTGACTCTTAAACTGAGTTTTTAAGAGTGTGCTCAACTCAGAGGACGCTCATTCCCCCAGATATCTCTTAGAATCATCTGTCTCCTGGAACTGTGCTGATAGAACTGTCTCTGGAACTCTTTCTGGTACTGTGTCCCTGAATCAGGCCCCACCCATAATTTTATTCAAAATGGTTTCTCTAGTCTCAATTAGGGAAGTACAAGTTGGACTTCACTCTCATCTTAACAGATCATCCAGCCTTTTCATCCCTAGTTCTAGAATAGCTCATTCATCCAAAGTCACTCTTTCTTCTCAGTCTTCATTGTGTGCAATGGATATGGGTATGCTTGCTTTCAGCATTTTGATATGCTAATTCTCAAGCATATCCACATTTGTTCATTATCTTTTTGGATGGAGTACCAAATTGAGGTTGCCAAGGAAACAACATCAGTCACAAAGACACAAGAGCAGATGGTTTTCCTGGGATTAATTAGAAGTCATTAATCCATATTATATCCATTTTATAAAAGTCATTCCAGCCAGGCGTGGTGGCACATGCCTTTAGTTCTAGCACTTGGGAGGCAGAGGCAGGAGGATCTCTGTGAGTTCAAGGCCAGCCTGGTCTACATAGTGTGTCCAGGGCAGTGAGACTCTGTCTCAAAAAGACAAAAAAAAAAATTGTTCCTACAATCAGCCATTGGGGAAGTACAAATTAAGATCACAATAAGTTTATCTTCCATGGTGGCTTATGGACCCACCTCCATCATGAATTACACAGTAACTATCTTCAGGACCACACCAGATGTCATCTTTGTATTTGGATGAGGAACCCATTGTAGGGTGGCAAGACAACTGGCTTTGGCAAGATTTAAGATTCCCTGGATTATACAAAAAAAAAAAAAAAAAAAGCCCAAACACAAACTTGCAAGACATGACTTGTATGAAAAGAAAAAAAAAATGGAGCTGGGGAAATGGCTCAGTTGGTAAAGTGCTTGTTGAGCAAGCATGCGGACCTAGGTTCAATCCCCAGCACTTACATACATGAAAACCAGGTGCAGCACTGCACACCTGTAATCCCAACAGTGGGGAGAGAGACAGATCCCAGGTACTCACTGGCCAGCCAGCCTAACCCAATAGGTGAGCTCCAGGTTCAGTGAAAGAGAGACCCTGCCTCAAAAAAGTAAGATGGAAAGTTGTTCTAGATTCATTTCTATTCCTGTGATAAAATATCCTAACAAAAGCAACTTAGTTGGGTTGGTGAGATGGCTCACAGGGTAAGGGTGCTTGCTACCAAGCTGGCAACCTGAGTTTGATCCCCAGAACCCACATAGTAGAAGGAGAAAACCAACGCCCACAAGTTGTCCTCTGATGTCCACATGCATGCTGTGGCACCCTTACACACATACACAATAATAAATAAATGTAAAAAAATTATAGTGATTTAGGGAAGAAAGGGTTTATTTTAGCTCACAATTCAGGTTACAGTTCATCCTTATAAGGAATTCAAGGCATGAACTTGAAGCAGCTAGTGACATCCACAGTCAGGAGTAGAGAGAGGGCTGGAGAGATGGCTCAGCGGTTAAGGGCACCGACTACTCTTGCAGAGGACATGGGTTCGATTCCCAGCACCCACATGATGGCTACAAACCATCCTTAACTCCAGTTCCAGGGGAATCCGAAGCCCTCT